AATGCCCCCAAAGTCCCCCGCTGGGGGTGGAAGATGGACTTGGCAACCCTATAAATTGTAGCTGTACTGTGGTAGGTAGCAGTGAGGATTTAACTCTTCCCCCATTAAAAATGCTGTGGAGATCTGTCCACAACTCATCTGGTTTGCTCTTGCTCTTTAGCAAAAGTGATCACAGCTGGTTCCTTTTCTCTTTTAAAAACGTAAGATTAAATCGCAGAATGGATCCTAGCCAACAGCTGCAACTCAAACACACCCAGCAACCTTTTCTATCTGGACAGGTCCTTATGGAAAGGACGGATAAAAGGGATGGGTACTGGAGTTCAGTGGCATTATGAAGTATATGCCACCCATTTCTGAGGTGAAGTGAATGAAATGCATTTGACAAGGAAATACTGCTTAGATGCATTTATATCCCCAGTTACTGGAGAATACTGTGAACAAAAAATCAAGCTGAATTCCAAAGATTTCAAATGAGTGAATATGGATGTCTTCCATGTCAGCCATTTGCACAGATGGACCAAATATCTGGAGTTCTCCCAAAGATATTGCAACAATGCCTATTGCTGTTACAAACTATTGCAACTGCAAGTCCCAGAGACAGAGGGAGAACAGTAAGGATCAATGTATAGTTCACACTGCCTGGAACCAATAGATGTACTTCTACAACTTTAGCCCCAATGTACTTACGCTGAAGGGAGCAGCAGCTCATCACAAAACATAAAATATAGCCATATATCCTACAGTAGGTGGAAGAGAGAGGCAGTATTTGGAATCTACTCCATAAAGGGGCAGGTACTATTATTAATCGGTTAGATACGAGACTCAGGCATCAGGTGAACAGTGATTAACAGCTTTATTGAACACGAAGTCAGAAGAACCAGAACGAGACAAATCAATGGAGCAACAGGCTCCTTTTTAAACTGTCCGGGCTTGGCAAGCCACACCCACATGTCAGCTAAGGTCCAATCACAAACTGTATATAAAGGCCAATCATTTCTCTTCCCTCCAGAACTTCCTTTGTTCTGATAGGTCTATTTACAATACCTTTCAAGATTCAAGCTCAGTACATTTCATTCCATTCCATCACATACACAACATAATCTTTTTGTCCTCTTGAAAGAAAATAAATTAAGGAACTCCCAGTACATGGGATGAGGAGAGTTAGAAAATGAGCCAGTCAAAAATGGGAGGTTATTATGGCCTAGGGTTGAATGTGGGAGAGCCTCACAGAATATATATGCCATGTTATCTTTCACACTTCCTTCAAGTCCCTCCTCAAAATCTAACTTCTCCATGCAGCATTTGTTGATGATTCCTTCCTCCTATCCCTCACTGAAAGGAATAAAAATATTCCTCTCTTGCCTCCTCTTTGCACCACCTCATTGTTGTCTCCATTATATCAGTCTTTAGAGTGTAAATGCCTCGGACCAAGGGTTTGTTATTAATCTGGTCCTGAAAACCTCCAAGTTGGTCTGGAAAACAGAGGCATGTTTGGGCTTCAGTTTGTGCAGCTGCAACGCTGGAAGCTAGTAAACAACACAGATATGATCAGCCTGATTCTCACAGACATGTCTTTTACTTGCAAAGCAGGCCTACAGAGCCAGTTTGGCGTAGTGGTTAAGAGAGCAGTGGACTCTAATCTGGAGATTCGGGTTCGATTCCCCCACTCCTCCTCCACATGAAGCCTGGTGGGTGACCTCGGGTCAGTCACAGCTCTCTCAGAACTCTCTCAGCCCCACCTACTTCACAAGGTGTCTATTCTGGGATAAGAAAGGAAGGAGGTTGTAAGCCACTCTGAGACTCCTTCGGGTAGTGAAAAGCGAGTTATAATAACCAACTCTTCTTCTAACACAGTTCAGGGGGAAATAGCTTAAAAAAAAAAGATAAGCCAAATTGAATTTAGTTGTATCGATACAAAGAATAAATTAGCATGACTTACTTGAAGTATGTTTCATGAAACACATTTAAATATCTGTAAATGGGACTGGACAACCTGAGAAAACAGTTGTGATTTGCTTGAGGAACAATATTTCGATGAGAGCGGAAGAGTTTTGAGGAAAGTGATCCTGCAGTGCCATCTGCTGGCATAGAACAGTGAGATTTTTTTTGAGACTGCCATAAAAGTTCTAGAAGTGTCAAATTCAACAGGAATGTGGGGAAAACATAAAAACTGTGGACATTTGATTCTTGGGTGCTGCTTGTGCTAACAGAATGTAGAGACAGTGTGATTCTACACAAGAAATCTCACATGCTATCCAAGAGCCTGACACCACTAGCAATTTATTTCTGGGAATGATTCCACCTGAAGTATGGCACACTAGAAATAAGGCCCGTTGTGGAATTAAATACAACGAGATCTAGAAAGAGGCTCTGGGAGAGTGCTCTGGCTTTGGGCAAACAGTGTCAGCTTCCTGTGGCGACCTCAGCAGGGTATAATGACAGAGTGCACTGTTTTCTCCAGAGGGACTGATCTGTGCTACCTGAAGAGCATTTGTATTTTTGAGTTATCTGTAGCCCTCACCTGGAGAGTGGTAACAATTGTTACCCAGGCTCCACCCCTCAAATCTCCAGGAATTTCCATAGGTAAAGGTGGCAATGCACCAAACAGAGGGGGACAGAGAGGGGGGAAGAAGGTAAGAAGGGGGTTGGAGG